TTGTCATCATTGTTATGAATGAACTTTTTGCTATTTCCGTCATTCAAGTCAGAATTACACCAAGACCATTGCATATACAGCTTTGGCAGTTACTGAGCCTGAAAGAGCAATCATTAGGCTATATAACATGGGTGATTAAAGAATTATTACATAAAGTTGATTTTGGACCTCATTTGTCACACCCTGGTATCCCACCTTTTGGCAAATGCTCATATATATATATAAGCTAGACCTTCCTATTTTACGAAATTTTCCTTTGTGGTGGATTATGTCTTTTCATGCAGAAAAAGTGAGAGATTTTACTGAATTAACAGTGAATACAAACTAGTTTGTGTATTGACTCATAAAAAAAAAAATTAAGTGCTGGAGGCAAAGTTTTAAACACACATATAAATGTACTGATATCTTTGGTTTTGTTACTTACATTTAGCACATACTGTTCAAATGTATAGGAGTGTCTGTTCCAATGTGTTGCACAGCCCTGACTCTGATGTACAAATTTCAAGGCTGGTGAAATACAAAGTAATAATGTTGAAAGAAGGGTATGTCATGTAAGGCCTATATGTATATATGAGTAATGTTTGACTTCTTTAGCTTTTTTTTCACGAAATGCTTCTGGTTTTTTTCCTCACTCAGGCTGGCTGTATCAGCCTTGACTTTAACTCCACATCAAGATACATTTTGTGTGGCTGTGCAGATGAAGTTGTGCGTATCTGGGACCGCAAGACTCAAGAGATCAAAAAGTCTTTCTCGGTACGATGTTAACGTTGCTCACCTTTCTCACATTCCATTTTTGTCTCTCAAGCCGTTCGTTCTTTTGTTGAGCTGGCTTCTTTGTGAATTTTAGAAATCCTATTATGAAAGAAGTGATAATATTTTATTACCTTCCTGATTGACCTGATAGGCCTGGGGTTGTTCAGGCCACAACTTTGAAATTGATTTTGCTTATGTGGCCTGTAATCCAAACTTTTATTGTAAAATAGTCGCTTTTAAGCACACCAGGCTATCCTGAAAAGTGCCGTTTTGAGAAAATTGAAGGGAAAGTTTTTGCCCCTTGTTCAGTTTCCTTAAAGGACAGTGTTCTCTATAACCAAACAAATATACACACCAATGAAACCAAACTTCTCCTATAGGTAGGGCAATGCCTACTTTTGGTGTTGGTGAAGATTTCTGTTAGTCCGCTTGTCCTTTAAAACAACCGAATATAAAGAGAGGATGGGGGAGAGATACTTTTAATAGGTGTATAGTGTGCTGCTCAGTGTGGTCTAGATATGTTGTAAAGAGTTGCAGTTATTCTTATTACTTTGGTATGTTGTCTGTGAGCTGGGATTGTCTTCATATTTACATTCCATTTTCTGTGACTCTGCATATTTTTTTAAACTGTATTAAATTAATGTGTGGCTTTCAAAATTCAGGAGCCATGTGAAAGTGTTTCACAGTCAAGTCTATGCTGCAAGCTTTGTTTACTTAGTCTGCCGTCCGTATTGCAGGGATGTAAATCTTCCGGCTTTTTCCGTTTTTGCCGGCTGACTTGCCATTTGGGCTCCAGCTTTTAACAAATGTCTACTATAAACAATACATATTATATATATATATATATATATATATATATATATATATATATATATACTAAATAGAGATTATTTGTTGTAATAGAGGGAAAGAAACAAATATAATTTAGTCTCACTGTTTTCTTATTTCAGTCAGTGCGCTCGCTCGGGTATATATTTTCCGTCTTTTTTTTTCAAAACATGTTTACATCCCTGGTATTGTAATCTCAGTCTCACTTTATTTGCATTGTTTGAATGTTTCTCCCTCAATGCCTTATGTGGGTGGTTGGCGGGTGCTCTGGTGTGGTTTGCTCCTTCTGTCCTATCAAACATCTATTGTACTTATATCCTCTTCTTCTTTTTTAAAATGTTTTGTTACTCTCTTGTAACACCTCTAATCTTCTGGCGCTCATATGGCCTTATGCAGTTTCGAGTGCCATAAAACCTTATACTATACTATACTAAACCTCTACCAAAACTACTAAAACCTTATGCAGTTGCGAGCGCCATAAAACCTTAAACTAAAACTCCCTCAATGTTTGACCCATTTTACACTCTCCTATACATAAGAATGTGTGTGTTGTCGCCCTTTGATCAGTTTTCACAAGTATGTGTCTTTGTGTTTGCCACCTCAGAAATATCTTTGCCCTGCTGTGCTCCACAATTGAGGAAGTAAAAGTCTATGAATTCAGAGTTCGCGACCTCAGTGCTTTCTTGTCCTATCTCCATTTTAAAAAAAAGTGAAAACAGTTCATAACAAAGAGTGAGCTTAAGAAGGAGTCACATTTTCAATGTAAAAAAATGGAGATAGGACAAGAAATCACTGAGGTCATGAGTTGTTGTTTTTTTGTAAAGTAATGTGATCATATCAATGAATTCACTTTTTTTTGGGTTTATTTTTTTCCCCAGGTGTTTTAGGTCTTCCTGTTTGCATACTGTGAATTGTGTTTTGGCTTGACTGATCTAGGTCTGTTTTTTTCCAGAATTTTCACATTCCTATAACAGTTGCAAGGTGGAATTGGAATGACACGTGCATTGCCCTGGGCTCTGAAAAGGGAGAGATAGTGCTTTGTAATGTAATTACTGGTGTCGTCAACAGCCCTCTTGTGACGCCATCTACTCAGGTAAACTGTCCGGCTCAGTAAAGGCTTTTCTATTTCTGTGTTCTACTTCCATTAAATTGAATGAAGTCATTGTTGGTTTTAAAACATAATGGAAATCTGCAGTACGGTATACCTATAATGACTTGAAATGTGTCATTAGTGAACAAATCTGATGGAATGTCAAGCTTGTTAAAATTCAGCTTTATTTTATGTATGTTGGAAGGGGAAGGACTTCTGTAATGAGCGACCACCCCAACAAACAATAAAGAAGAGACCTGACTCTACCCCTGCCCCTAGCCCTCTCTTCTATTCTGTCTCATAGTTATCTCTTGTTACGGAAGTCCTCTCTAGTATAGTAAGGTGTTAAAATGGATGAATTCACTCGATCTGAACATAACGTCGCCTCAGAACTATTTTGTCCAAAGTCTACTTCAGTAAAGAGGCACTTTAGACAATGTAGTTTTGAGGCGGTGATAAGTGTGAAAATCTTTGATTTGATTTGTTGGGTTGGGGAGGGGAGGGTTGGGATTGTTCATGAAAGTGACATTCTGCCCGCTCGTTTTTTGCTTTGTATTTATAGTAACCTTTTACAGTCAACCTTTCTTACTTTCTTTTGAATGGCCATCGCTGTAGACAAGGGAGGACTTCCGTAACGAGTGACCACTATGAGACAGAGTAGAACAGAGGGGAAGGGTTGGGTAAGGGTTAGGTTAGGGTTTGGGGTAGGGTTAGGGTTAAGTCTCTTATTTATTGTGTTTGTTGGAGTGGTCGCTCGTTACGGAAGTCCTTTCGTAGACAAGGTGGTGGCTATTTAGAAATGTATAGCAAGGTGTGGCTTGTATGGATATACTCTAGGCAACTGTCAATGAACTAGTTTGTACCTTTTGTGTTGATCGTTTAAGAGTTGTCGATTGAAATATTGATGAAAGGCACAAAAAATGTAAATTTTCAGTTTCAAAGTTCTCGCAGGCAATGGAAGCTACCAAACTTTGGGGGCTATTTTCTCACTAATTTTACTTCTGAAACCTGACCCTGACCTCCTTCAATCGCAAATATTTTAACTTCTATTCTACAAAGATGGATATTTCTTTCACCAAAAGGAAGGCAAATGAACAGGCTTTAACGTGATATCAATAACCCCGTTTACGCCTAAAAATTGACGAGCGCCTGATTCCGCCACGCCATGACAATTATGTTTATTGAACAAAATAAAAATTAACAAAAAACCCAAAACAACTTGGAAATTTACTTTTTTTAAAGAACATAAATCATCGTGGTAACTTATAATACGTGTATTGAACAAATAACAAAAAAATTTTAAAATAACCAAAACCACTTGGAAATTTACTTTTTGTAAAGTATGTGAATCATTTTTGATTTTTCTGCTTCGGTCCATCAGGCCATCCGCCAGTTGCTGTACAATCCCTACCGCAAAGCGTCCCTTGTGTCGGCGTCGGAGGACGGGGCTGTGAACTTCTGGGACACCAACACCCGTCGCCTGGTCCATTCCTTCAAGTCTGTGCACCAAGCACCCGCCCGCGACCTCGCCTTCTCCCCCATCAATGACTGTCTCATGGTCAGCGTGGGACTGGACAAGCGCTGCGTGTTTTACGATATTCAGAACAAAAAGTAAGTTTCTTATGAATTTTTAAAGTTTCTTACTAAACTAATGTAGCTTGGTTTCTATTCTGAACTTAAATTTATATAACCATTTTCTAGATAGGCTGTGGGTTTTGTCTTTTTTAAATTCAAGTTTAAAAATATCACCAATGTCAAACAAATTTAGGTTTTTTAATTCCCTACCCCTCACCTCCTTTGCCCCCTCCTCTGGGCTTCTGACTCTCTGCAGCCTTTCTACTGCTACTCCTTGGCTCCCTCTTACTGGTATCTTTCAGCCACACCCCTTATCTTATGGTAGGTAAGATCTAACACCTAGCCTTCTCGGATAAGGGCGAAAAATCTTGGAGGTCCTGTGTGCAAGTTGCAAGATCCCTTGGTGGTCCAAAATCGATAAGAGTAGGCTTTGCCCGCCACCCTGGGAGAATTCAAAATTTCCTACCAACTGAAAATGTTTAATGTGTCACGCTCGCTCATATGACCTTCTGCAGTTGCGATCGTCGTAAAACACATACAAAAAAAAAATAATTTAAAAAAAATTGTTTTCCTATTTTTACAGGTGTGGATGGTGAACACAATGGAGTTGTTTGCCCGTAGTTCACTTCTTTGATACTTTTGTTTGTTGTTCAGCGTGATCTCAGCGAAACGGGTAGGGTTTGGGTTAGGGTTAGGTCTCTACATTATTGTGTTTGTTGGAGTGGTCGCTCGTTTCGGAAGTCCTTACAAAACTTGCCTCTTGGCTGTTTTTTAATCCTTTCAGGTCCATAAATACGACTGTCGGGGAGCACCCTCTGACCAGCGTGGATCTGATGCACGACGGGGTGACGTTGGTCGCTGGCTCCTCACAGGGGAAGATTTTTGTCTACGACATGAGACAACCGTCCAGCCCTGTGTCCAGTCTGCCAGCTCATAGGTCTTCCGTGAAACGGCTGAGCTTTACGAAGCAAGTGAGTTTATGAAACCTATCCGTACGTTGTGTTTTACTATCGTATCCATACCACGTGGGGAGCTCTTTGCTGCCACTTTCCAAAGAGGAAATGACTCGTTAGTCCGATCCGTAGGCTTTGCATAGCAGTCTGTCAAAATGCTTTTTTGAGAAATACTGAAAGTTCAAAGAGATCTTCGTACTAGAAGTATTCTAAAATGTGAAGAATACAACCTCCAGGGTACAAAATGACCTCAGGGCATACGGATAGGGTTAATAACAGACAATCGATAGCATTTGTGTAGCGCAATTTTCTTCTCAACAGCAAGCTCTATGCACTTCACAATCTATACTATTACCCCAGCAGACCTGAGAGCATTCTGAAACAACCTCAACTTCCTGGGAAGCATACAAGGCAAGCTGCCATTTATAGGCGCTAAAACACTAACAAACTGACAAGATCTTTCGCTGTCTATGGCTGGGTACCCATTCCCACCTGGGTGAAGTGAGGAAAATTCCTGTAAAGTACATTTCTTAAGGACACAACGTCTGGCACGTGGCTCTAACCTCCGAACCCGCTACCTCACGATTACAAGTTCAGTAGCCGTACAACTAGGCCGCCGACACCACAGATTAAAAAAAAATTTTTTTGGGTAGTGGGGGTGGGAATGAGGGGTACAACATCGTCTCGCTCTTTCGATAATTGCCCATGTCATTTTGGGGGCAAACTGAGCTATAGCAACATCGAGATGATTTGATTAGTTCCCCAGAATTCTGTCAGACGTTGTTTCAAACGTTGAATTTTAATTAAAATTTTATGTGTGAATAGGTGTCTGAAATTTTACTTTTTCTCGTCTTTTCCAAAAAACTTCTTGGCTGTAAGAGGGATGAATTGTTATGTCTTGATTTCACCATCAAAATGACGAACTTTGTTTAGAGTCAGCTGATGATATAAACTTTAAGCTCCATATAACCTTTTGCAGTTGTGAGCGTGGTAAAACCATACTAAATTGGATGGTTGGCAGGTGCCCTGGTGTGGTTTGATTCTTCTTTCCTATCAAACATCTATCATCCTTATCTCTCCTCCTTTTTTGTGTTTTGTTACTCTCTTGTAACACCTCTAATCTTCAGCACTTATATGACCTTATTGTGTTGCGAGTACTGTAAGACTCTTTCTAAAACTAAAAAAGAGTCAGCTGATATAAACTTTGAGCTCAAATTGAGATGATTTTAAAGGCTTCTCCTTTTTCGCATTTCAGGACGATGGAAAGGAGGATTCCGTATCATCCCAAGGTTCAAGGAGACAGTTGCCAGCCGCTCCTTCAAGTTTGATCGACAGCCTTAATCAAAACAGCAACAGTGAAGGTGAGAATGATTGGATAGTTTACTCCCAGGCTATCAGTGTCATGTAGATTATTTGGGGGCTCTCGTGGCCTAGAGGTTAAGGTGTTCACATTTAATTGGTCCCGTGTTCGAATCCGGATAGCGAAGGAAAATTTTCTTCTCTAAAATTTTCTCCTTCCACCTCCTTTCCCGCTCTTTAACAATGTTCTATTGTCTTCTTTCGTCTCCACTTTCTGCCCCCACCCCCCCCTCACTTCCTTTGCACCCTCCTCTGGGCTCTTGACTCTTTCTGCAGCTTTTCTCCTGCTACTCTTTGGGTCCTTCTTACTACTGTCTTTCAGCTGCGGCCCTGATCTTATGGTTGGAAAGATCTATGCCTAGCCTTCTTGGACAAGGGCGAATGACCATTATTGTGTTGATGTGCTTCTGTTTACTCAAAGATGGTTTTTGGACATACATTAACGGTTTTCCCGTACACCCACAAAGCTGTGACCCCTCTGCATGGTTCTTGTCGAGGTGACGCATTGTTTTGTTTTGTTTTCACAGGTTTTCAGTCTCCGAGAGGTCATCACCTCATGTCGGGCTTGGGCACCAGTGCTTTATCTCCCCTCAAGGAAGGTAGGCTATGCGTAGGTGGTTGGCGTGTGCTCTGGAGTGGTTTGCTTCTTCTTTCCTATCAAACATCTATCGTCTTTATCTCCGCTTCTTCTTTTTTGTGTTTGTTACTCTCTTGTAACACCTCTAATCTTCTGCATTTATATGACCTTTTTTGTGTTGCAAGTGCCGTAAAACTGTTACTAAAACTAAAAGATAGGTTATGCAGACGTCTGAGCTAATGAATGTTCTGTTTTGTTTTAGTAACAGTTTTACGCCACTTGCAACACAGTAAGGTCATATAAGTGCCGAAGATTATAGGTGTTACAAGAGGCTAACACACAGAAAAAAGAAGGAGGGGAAATAACCGCGATGGATGTTTGAGAGGGAAGAAGGAGCAAACCACACCAGAGCACCCGCCAACCACTCACGGACTGTTCTGTCATAAGTTCAGATGAGATGGTTGGTATCTGTCATGACCTAGACTCTGCAGAAAAGCTTTTTGGGTTTTGTTGTTGTTTTTAAAAAACATTTTTATTGGGGTTTTTTTGGTTTAAAAAACAATATTTAAACAAAATAAATATCGAATTTATAAAAAATTTCTCCACGTTACTTTCTTCAAAGAGTATAATACAACATGTACGAAACTTGAGGCTCTATAATTGGATGATATTATTTTACATTTCTTACACTTGTGTCTGCACTATACAAAGCATGAAGGTCTATAAATAAATACATTAGCTAGATAGATAGATAGATAATAGATAGATAGATAGATAGACAGATAGATAGATAGATAGATAGATAGATAATAGATAGATGGATGATAGATAGATAGATAGATAATAGATAGATATTTAGATAGATGTTGTTGTTGTTTTCAAATCCCTTTAGCTGTGAGCATTTCGCTCGTGGCAGCGCAATGTCTCCCTTAAGTAACCACGTGTCAGATAGATAGATAGATAATAGATTGATATATATAGATAGATAATGGATAGATAATAGATAGATAGATTTCACCACATTGCCTCACATATGTGCTATCTGATTTCAGGCCAGGGAGTTATCTCCCCCCTTCAGCATGAGAATTCCTTGAGCATTGGAAGTGCTTATGGCTTCAATTCGTTGAACGGAGGCAATTCGTTTATCAGCGATGTGAGTCTTCATACATTTGTTCCTCTTTTAAGTTGGATCTTTAAAAAAAATGTTAGTGAAACCCCGATATAACGGGCCTGGCGTACATCGATACTGTCGGAGACTTTATTCGCCAGGCCGTAGAATGCGCTCACTACCGCTTAAGTCGCAAACGCAACCAGGCACACTAAACATAATTAACACATTACACCCTAACTCGCCCGGGACCGCCCGTGTGTCTTTAGAAACGAAGTCTCGCCTTGACGAGACTCTGGGGCCGAGATTTTGATTTGCATAGTTATTGCAAAAAGTTTCTTCTTTCGTTTGATACTGAAACGAAATTTTTCGGGCCAGTAGTTTTAGTATTGGAGCCGAACAAAGTGCGATCCCATTACCGACACTTCGAAAGTGTCTCGACTTGTTGAAAAGCGACACAATTGAGTTCGAAAAAAGAAATAACGATGGAATTGAGCAAAAACAAGCTTATGACAAATCAGATGACTCAGATTTTGATGAAAACGTTGTAGCAAGAGTTTGGGGCGATTCAGATTGATCACACGTAGAAAATCTAGAATTTAGACCTAGGACCCGACCGCGAGGCTGAGAGTGAGGGGTCGGACACCCCGATTGAACTAAAGTTAGAACATTTCCAACAGTTTGCGCATACATAAAGTTATATTTTTCTGAAACTGCATTCATTTTTCTTTGTAACTTTTATTTTTTTTGGATTTTTAGAATTTGTTTAGTATTTTTAAAATGTGTTTTTTAAAGGCTTGTATTCTCTGGAGGTGGGTTCTTTCCCCTTGCTTAGGATCTACACGGCAGTAAATACCAAAGGAAGTCACTCTGTATGATAGCTGAATGGTTGATGAACCTCTATGAATTTTTAAAGCCTGTTTCTTGGGCTGCCAAGGTTTTTAAAATTTAAAAACGATTCAAGCATGCCTTTAGCGTTGTAAACTGGTACGGTACTTGAGGGTTTTTCACTATATATGAGCCTTCGGTACTGTAAGTGTTAAAACACACTCTTGGCTGTACTATTGTGGCAGCAGAACTATTTTGTCCAAAGTGTACTTAACTTTTTCCGGACGTAGTTGTTTTGGTGTCTAGACGTAATTAACTTGGGACTCGATTCGGCTACGCAGGTGATGTACTAAATAACTTCGTATAAGCATAACCATCACTCTAAACGTAACTTATGATATATCAAATTGAAGGACATTGAAAAAGGAATACATTCCAACATGAAACAAGGATTAATTTTGAACATAAGTATGCATTACAAGGGTTAGAAAGGGTGATGGTGGTGAGAAAAATACATTTTGACGGAAAAAATTACACACACTAAACATGTGAAAGTGAATCAGCATAGCTATCTTATCATGTATAGGCCAAGAGCTGATTCCATGAGTTTCTGAATGTGCAGCTTTTTATTTGAATGCAGTGTTCCAATTTGATATTTATACTGAGTCCGGTTAGATCATTTTGTTGATGCAAGACTGCGAGAACTAATTCACTGGTTTTTCACCAGACAGACACTTTGACAAAGTGAAACTAGATGTTTTCGTTTCCTAAACCCTTTCCAAGTTTTCAGTAACAATAAAAAGTACTTACAAATAATGGATCATATTAAAACGAAACAACACTGAGGCACCCCATCATAAACGATATATCGGTGATACGTCCGGAAAGACTTAAGTAAAGAGGCACTATGGGAAAATAGTTCTGAGGACACATAAATATTTTTTGATGGGCAATGAATTTCTGTACTATTACCTTTTTGGTTTTCCTGGTGTGTTTATTTAGATGTTATAATAACACGTCTTTTTTGACGGGATATGAATTACCGTACTATTACCATTTTGATTTTCCTAGTGTGTTTATTTAGATGTTATAATAACACGTCTTTTTTGACGGGATATGAATTACCGTACTATTACCATTTTGATTTTCCTGGTGTGTTTATTTAGATGTTATAATAACACGTCTTTTTTGACGGGATATGAATTACCGTACTATGACCATTTTGATTTTCCTAGTGTGTTTATTTAGATGTTATAATAACACGTCTTTTTTGACGGGATATGAATTACCGTACTATGACCATTTTGATTTTCCTAGTGTGTTTATTTAGATGTTATAATAACACGTCTTTTTTGACGGGATATGAATTACCGTACTATGACCATTTTGATTTTCCTGATGTGTTTTTCTGGAGATGTTATAACACATAAATATATTTTTTTTATGGGCAATGAATTACCGTACAATTACTTTTTTTTTTCCTGGTGTGTTTTGGTTCAGATGTTAAAGTCGGGAGATAATTCCCTCATGGAGGAGCGTCCCGCAGCTCAGAGCAACAAATCTCTACTCTCCAGATACGCCTCTTCCCCTGGGAATGCAGGTTTGTTATATGTGTGCTTTGTGGGTTTTTTCGTACTAATATCATCTTCATCATCATCGCCTTTCTCACCCTGGATCAGGATATAGGCCACGAACAAACACTTTCCAACTTTCCCCATCCTTGGCTTGTCGCTTGACTAGATGTCGTAGTAATATGGTGGCTCCTTATTACTAATAATTTCTTTCTCTGTCTGTGTCTGTCTGTGTGTTTGTCTGTGTATCTGTTTGACTGTCTGACTGTGTCTCTGTCCCTCTGTCTCTGTCTCTGTCTGTCTGTGTCTGTCTGTCTGTGTCTGTCTGTCTCTCTCTTTCTCTGTCTGTCTGTCTGTCTGTCTGTCTGTCTGTCTGTCTGTCTGTCTGTCTGTCTGTCTGTCTGTCTCTGTCTGTCTCTGTCTGTCTCTCTCTTTCTCTGTCTGTCTGTCTGTCTGTCTGTCTGTCTGTCTGTCTGTCTTTTTCTCTCTTTCTCACTACCTCCCTTTCTTCCTCCCACACACTCCCTCTTTGTTGCTCTTCTTCTCTCTCTCCTCCCCTCCCACACTTTGGAAACTTACTAACAAGTTATATTTATGTTGGATATTGGCAAGATTGAATTTTTATTTTAGTGTGTGTGTGTGTGTGTGTATTCTTTTTGAGTGAATTAGACATAGAAAGATATATTGTTCTAACTTATGAAAGGACTATACTTCCTTTCTAATCAGAGGTCAATGGTACGGTTATGATTACGTGAATTTCATTATATTGTTATTACGTATTATTTGTGTCATAGGCATATGTATGCATCATTGTATGTTTTGTACATGCCGTTTTGAGAAAAAAGTTCTCCGTTTTGAGAAAAAAAGCTGCATTTATTTCTGTCTTGTTGCGACTTCTGATTCTCATAGTGGGTGGTTGGCGGGTGCTCTGGCGTGGTTTGTTTCTTCTATCCTATTAAAAACTATCGTCGCCTTCTCTTTCTCTCCTTCTCCTTTTTTGTGTTTATTACTCTCTTGTAACACCTCTAATCTTCGGCACTTATATGACCTTATTGTGTTGCAAGTGCCATAAAACACTTACTAAAACTAAAATATTGTTGTAAAAAAAAGTTGTCGTTTTGAGGGGAAAAAGCTGCATTTATTTTATTTTTGTCTCATTGCAACTTCTGATTCTCATACTGTAGTTTGTGGAATCCACAGCAGACGCGTCCATCTCTCCCACGAGAGTTCAGAGAAGCCCCCCAAGGTCGTTCGCGTCGAGAGGCCTTGGAGCTTCCCCCAGCCTGCAGCAGCTATCGTCCCCGAGGACGGACCCGTCTGGCACGGCAGCTGCGGCCATCTTGGCGGGCTCCCCGACACACCACGCGGCCTCCGCCCCACGGCCCGCTCCGTCGCGACACTCTCCGCTGTCCAGTAGTCAAAGTGCGACGACACCGCCGCCACACTCGTGGAAAAACCTGGAGAATAGTCACGGTGCTGAAGTGACGCACGGGGCTGACTATTTGTTGAGTCAGTCGGAGGGAAGTCGACAAAGGTAAGACTCAGCTTCCAAATTGTTTTGTATGAAGTACAAATATAGGGCCCAGCTTCCAAATCGTTTTGTATGTGTAAATGTAGGTATTTGTCCGCTCACAATAGGGAATAGTATTTGTTTTGCACTGGTCTGCATTTTATTCCCAGTAATGATAATCATAATAATAATGATGATTTTTGCATTTAGCACACATCCACGCTCTGCAGCCTGCTGTATGTGCTTTACGTTTACTACTCCAGCGGACCCGAGAACACGCAGAAACATTCTCAGCTTCCCAGGAAGAGTACAGTGCAAGCTGTGGATTTCAGGCGCTAAAACACTAACAAGCTGACAAGATTTTTCACCGCCTATAGCCCGTACCCAATCCCACCTGGTTGAAGTTAGGAAAATTCATGTTAAGTGACTTTCCCAAGCACGCAATGCTGGGCCCCTTACAGAATTCGAACCCAAAACCATCACAGTTGAAAGTGAGAGCATAACCACAAGGCCACCGATGCCACGAAGGGCTCTTGGTGCTAATTAGCAAATGTATTTCAGAAAATGGTGGTGCAGTGAGTACATTATTTCATCATCAATGCCTTTCACCCCTGGCAGGATATAGGCCACATACAAGCTCCTTCCATTTATATCTCTCCTTTGTCATCCTTCCAAGCTCGTTCCAAGTGAGTTTCATCTCTCTCATGTCCCTTTCCACACATCTCCTCCATGTTTCCCGTGGCCTACCCCTGCCTCGTGTTCCATGTGGGTTCCACTACAGTGATTGTCTTGTGATGTTTCTGCTGGGCTTTCTTAAGGTGTGTCCCATCCATCGCCACTTTCTTAGTCCTATTTCTACTTCTATGTCCTTTTGTCCTGTCCTTTCCCACAGTTCTTCATTTCTTATTCTATCCTGCCACTTAATTCTTAGAATACTCCTCATACATCTGTTGATGAAAAGTCTGGACTTTATTCAGTACTTATTTTTTTTACTTTGTATTAATTTCTCTCCTCAGAATTAATGATGAGCATTCTCCTTATGGACCAAAGCACACAAATGGTAAGTTTTTTATCATGAGTTCATTTAGTCAAAGTCACGTTGGTGATTTCTGTATTGCTTCGTATGGATTTAATAGACTTGATTGTAACGGTAAGAAAATTAGTGCACTTTTAAATATCCATGTATTATATAATTTCTAATGTTGCCTGCCTAATAATAGACGGTTGTTGGGGGCTCTGGTTTGGTCTGTTTGTTTTCCATCTTTTTCAGTGTATTGCGGTCGGTCGGAGGGGGTCTTACTTCTTGGTCTTACTTCTGTTCTTTCTCTTCTTTTGTCTATGTCCCTCTACCTGTTTTGTTTTTCTCACAGCACTAAATTACCACATTGAGTTGCTGTGTTTCTCTTTACTCAAAAAAACAAACATCCCCCCCCCCCCCCTTCAGGGCGGTGCTACTGACTGAAGTGTCTTTAGGCCATTCCCAAAGGGGACCATTAACATGTTCTTATGCACAGTAGAATTGTAAATGGGCTGATTTATCAATCGTCATGCTCATACTGTGCCGGAACAACATCGGGGGAACTGCTTTTTCTTTCCTCATCCTTACTATCGTCATTTTCCTCTACTTCTTTTGTATGTTTGTCAAACTCTTGTGAACTGCTATTTCCGGGGTGCCTTGATAGTTGAAGCAGACTTTGTGCTGTTGAGGCTAGAGAGGTGAGGTGAGCAGAGTAAGCCTGATTCCCCATTTGGACTTCTCTGTTGACATCCACCCCTTGATGCTCTTATGACTTATGCAGTTGCGAATGCTTACTAAAACTAAAAACTTAAACTCTTACCAAAATGGCAAAACGAAGACTTTCCTCCAGTGATGAAATGACATGCACACAAGCCTTGTCATTTTCGTCACTCCTTCCCCCTATATATCTTAGCTCCAGTAACATCTGGTCTATGAACTCACTTCCCTTTTCTGTTATAGCGCTCAGAGCCTCTAATCTTCAGCACGTATATAAACCTTATTGTGTTGCAAGTGCCGTAAAACACTTACTAAAACTAACTAAAGAGCCTGTGTACTTAAATCGGGGTTGAGTGCTATATAAATGTCATTTTTTATTATTATTATAATATTATAGTACGATGGTGATAATGAACTCATAAACAAAACAAAACCACTGACAGGACTACCTCACGCGGCAACCCCACCGAAAGGTTTGAACCCAGAATCCTCTGTGCCTCAGACGCCTCCCTCCTCCGTGTCTCTGGCGTCGTCATCGTCCGCGCTACGCCATCTGGTGCGCGACCTTCTCAAGGAGCAGTTCCAAGAGCATCAGGAACATCTCAAGAGTGAGATCAGGGCCATGATGCAGGTAGTGGTGAGTTTTGGGTTTTTGCTCTGTCCGTCTAGTCTTGGTTCAATGTTTTTCGCTCTGTCGGTCTTGGTTCAATATTTTTGTTCTGTCAGTTTTCTGTCGGTCTTGGTTCAATGTTTTTACTCTGAATGTTTTTCGCTTTGTTGGTCTTGGTTCAAAGCCCTTTTAAAAAAAATTTGCTTCGTCAGAGGATAACTTCGGGGTGGGAAGTCTTTTTGGTTTCGTAAACGTCACATCTTTGAGCACAGAGTAAATAGGCGACCTGTGAAGTAGTGATTAGAATAGATGCTTCGCTGTTACACACAGGAGTCATGAGTTCTATCCCCATGTAGGGTGGGTTTTTTTACTGAGTTTTTCTGTCTAATATGGCATATATGTATCTCTCAGCTCAGATTGGTCCTGACAAGCAGGGCCAAAGCATCCGGACACTTATATGACCTAAATTGTGTCGATTGGGCCATAAAAAACCTGCAATTTGTGGGGTTGAAAAACTCTGACTCTGTCTTTTCAGACAAAGAAGAATAAATCTCGAAGCTCCTGTGTTTGTGCTAAAGATCTCGGCTGTGTAAAGAATGGAAAAAGAAGATAAGACCTGTCATGGCTGGCTACCAAATTTTATTGCAAAATTTAATCTTATCCAGTATTCATTCGGAAGCTCTCGTCTGTATAAGGTACTAAGAGTATACTTCAGTTGTCTTTTCTGCTCTTGCTGCACTGTCTTTCTCGGTGGCGTCGGTGGCCTAGTGGTTAGGCTACCGGACTCGTAATAGTGAGATTATGGGTTCAGGCGTTCAAGCCTCAACTCGGTCTGACATTGTGTCCTTAGGGAAAGGCATTTTGCACAAATTTCCCACTTGGCTCGGTCCTTTTGGAGATGGACATTAAACCTGGAGGTTCTGCCTCTTAAATAACCTAATAGTGTTGATAGGGCCATTAAACTTATACCAGTTCATTTTGCTTTACTTTACTTTTCCGATAGAGGGGCCGTCTGTGTTCTAGCCCTTCGGTCTGATACCATTTCACCATTTCACCGTCTTTCTCATTCTCAGTATAGTAGGCTATATCCCTATGATTCAAGCTATCTAATGGCTTTTGATTCATATTTAATTGAAACCCATCAAATTGTTTTACCACCTTGTTGACCTCTCTGTCACTGTCACCTTGTGTTGACCTCTCTGTCACCGTCACTGTGTCCACAGCAATCGTCCTCCCTCGAGACTGGAGGGGCCCGCTCCTCTGGGACAGACCGAGTGACGAGAAGAGACCCGAGCATGTTTCAGGCTGAGTTCATTCGCAACTTGATTCGAGAAGATTTGGAAGATATGCAGGAGAAAATGCACGAGGAGTTCTGGAGCATCAGAGTGGAACTTGTGAAACAAGTCTTTCAACTTGAGGTTAGTTGATAGATTTATAACTACTTGTCAAACAAGTCTTTCAACTTGAGGTTAGTTGATAGATTTATAACTACTTGTCAAACAAATCTTTGAATTCGAGGTTAGTTTTATAATTACTTGTGAAACAAGTCTTTCAACTCGAGGTTTGTTGATAGTTTTATAACTACTCATCAAACAAGTCTTTCTCTTTGAGGTTTGTTGAAGTTTTATAACTATTCATCAAACAAGTCTTTCAACTCGAGGTCTAGTTTATAGTTTTAACTACTTGCCAAACAAGTCTTTGTATTCGAGGTTAGTTAATAGTTTTATAACTGTAGGTTTGCTCTCTGGGGAATGATCAAAGGACATGGTTTCCAGTATACAAGTGGTGTGCAGTAAAACATGCTGGTTTTGTTTCCCCACTCCAGGTGATACTTCGTACATCATAGGCCTACATCTCAGAGGTGGAATATTAGATAATAAAGACATGTCATGGTTTTTTTTCCACCGTGGCGTAAATGGAGGATTTGTTTTAATGAAGGAAAGAATCTTGAAATTTTTTCATAAGTAATGTTCATGTGGAGTGACAGTTGTCAATGCTTTTGTAGCTATGGATATTCTTGTGGTGGTGAGAAACAGTTGTTTTTTTTAGATAAGATTATGAGTTGTGCTCTTCATCAAATCTCATACAGTAATAATAATAAATGACATTTATATAGCACTCAGCCACGACTAAAGTACACAGGCTCTGAGCGCTTTACAATACAATACAATGCACAACAGTAACATAAAACGTTGTGTTCTGACCGAAAGAAAATTGCTCCGAATATTCATCTTATTCATTTAAAAGCAGAAATGACTTCAGCTGACATTTGGATGAATCAAAGGATTTGATCTCTCTTAAACTGAAAGTACTTGGCAAAGCACTCCAGATCTTGGGGCCTTGATATTCAAATGCCCTTTCGCCCATTGTTTAAAGTTTCATTCTCTTTACTTTTTTAATGTTTCAGAAAAAAATGGAGGCTGGTCTGGCAGAATGCATGATCAACCCATTGCTGCTGAATGTGATTGAAGAACAGAGGGAGGAGATTGCACGTTTGAAAAAAGTGTTTTGAGAGCGAGATGTTTTCGTGGTTTACATGCTAATGTTCGTTGACTGTTCATTTGGGAACCTTGTTAACACTTTGCCGTCACAATGCTCAAATAGTAAAAACCTTTTGCCATCAAAGGCAAAGGCATTTGGGGAAAATCCCAAAAAACTGGGTGGTAAACATCGCCAATCAGCGAGATGTGACGGCAATGTGTTAAAGAAAGTTGAATTCCGATGCGGCACATGCATTTTTAGTTTCTCTAGAGAAGCGATGGTAGCCTCCTGTGCCAAAGCATGTTGTTTGATTCCTGGTTTGTGCAAATGTGATCGGATAATGATTTTGGTTTTGGAGAAACTGATCTCAGAAAAAAACGAACAAGTGGCAGGTCCTGTATAAATTTCGCACCCTGTAGTGTAACCCAGTGATGCCATAATTATTTTTAAAAAAATCAAACTCAGATTTTGCTGGAGGAAGAAAACTCACAAATAAAGTAGTGAATAAAGCTTTTTGGATTGTTTTTATACTTCCGCATTTATCTTGGTCTGTCTGCTGGGATGTTGCATCCCTCACAGCCCGGGTCTGTCTGCTGCGATGTTGTATCCCTCACAGCCCGGGTCTGTCTGCTGCGATGTATCCCTCACAGCCCGGGTCTGTCTGCTGCGATGTTGTATCCCTCACAGCCCGCGTCTGTCTGCTGCGATGTTGTATCCCTCACAGCCCGGGTTGACCTTCACAGGCAGGGTCAGAAGCCTGCCTCCTAAATGATCAAAACTGTGCTGATAGGGACACGAAAACACTTTTTTTTCCCCCAAAAATATTTTTTTTTCCCAAGAGTAGTTGGGAGCCTGGTCACTGAGGATGGTAAAACCTGTGACATGTACAAGTGGGAGTATCATTGTCAAAAACTCTATTTTTTAAAATAGATCTAGTTTCAGTTAAAGTTTTATGGCACTTGCAGCACAAAAAGGCCATGTATATTTTAAGTGCCGCATCGATAACTCTGGCAGCTAGTGGTGGATTCAGTACATTTTATTGGTGCCTTTGACTTTGGTGGTGTGGAGCTGTCTGTCTGTTGATGTTACTCTTGTCTGGGCTGCTGGTGTGCTGCTAGTGAGCTTACTCATGGTACTAGCCTGTTGGAGTTTTATTTTCTCATGAAATGTCTGAAAAAATGTTATAGTATAGTGTAAAGCCTATTAAGATCACATGACAGTTGTTTTAGATTTGCCAGTTTGCAATGATATGGACAGTTTGTAGAAAGTTGTGTGAGAGAGGTAAGAAGAGTTTTTGAGAGTGAGAAAGTATAGATATGTGTGACATCATATATAACTAGCTGGGCCCCCTTTCGATGAAAGGGATGATCGGTGCTTTAGTATAAGCTAAAAGTCATTGGCCTACTTTACACTCTACTGGAATGGGGAAATAAATATTGAGAGATGCAAAAAAAATTAGGTCTAGATCTATACTCTCAAAACAAAATGCGCCTCGCGAAATATCACTTCCGAATTTTCTAAAATTACAGAGACAGAAGCGTCGGCCTACAAAAGCGATCGGCGAAATAAAGAAATTTAGCTTTTTGCAGCAAAACTGTCTCAAAACTGAAAAAACCAAGGGCCCCATGATCTGGAGAATATTTTAAAGAATTTTTTGGCGAAAACCGCATGTCGATCGATGAAGCCATTAAAAAGCATTTTGAATAGCAAAATTCAGCCACCACAAATAGATAATAGATTAAACACCTCTTAAAGGGGCACCACAGTTGTTTAGATTTGCCAGTTTGCAAAGACGTGGACAGTTTGTTGAAAGTTGTGTGCGAGAGGTAAGAAGAGTTTTTGAGAGTGAGAAAATGTAGAGATGATAATATGTGTTTGAGATGTAATAGTGACATCATGTATATAAAGTGACATAACAGTTGCTAAGATTTGCCAGTTTGTAAAGACATGGCATGTACTGTTTGTAGAAAGTAGTGTGCAAGAGGTGAGACGAGTCTTTGTGTACATCATGTATAATGTTACGCCTCTTTCAAGTTCAAATGACATAACACTTGTTAAGATTTGCCAGTTTGCACAGACATGGGCTGTTTGTAGGTAGAAAGTTGTCTGTGAGGTGAGAGGTAAGATGAGTCTTTGAGAGAGAGAAAATTATGTAGATACATTGTAGGCCTATTTCATATTTATTGTAGTCATGTGTATGCCTTTGGTGAACAACTTTGACAGTACATGTATTTGTTGTTCAGTGCATTGAGCACTGTTCCAGTGCCAGTGTGGTGTATTTAATTAAATATAATTGATTACTATCTATCATCATTGTTCTTGTTTTATAGTCGAGCGTGCCTCTCCCTCTAGTAGTGCGACACGGTACGGTACTCATCACAATCACACTATCTATGCAGCTTGTCCGGAACGTCATAACTTCCTCCTCTATTGTCATTCATAAAACGTATCCTGTATAAGTAAGTGTAAGACAGAGCTATAGGGTGTGGGTGGTTGGCAGGTGCTCTGGTGTGGTTTGCTTCTTCTTTCCTATAAAACACTACCGTCCTTATCTCCCCTTCTTCTTTTTTTATGTTTGTTACTCTCTTGTAACACCTCTAATCTTCTGGAGCTCATATGACCTCATGCAGTTGCGAGCACAGTAAAACCTGTACTAAAACAAAAGAGCCATAGACTTATAGCATAATCCCAGATCCTACACCCTGTCGTATTTCTGGTTCTTCAGAGTAATCACTACGAAACTATTATTGAAACGTAGTATTGGTCTCATTTTGAACCAAATAAAGGCAAAGGAGAGGGGGGGGGGTGTGCCGTGCGGGTTCGACTACAGCAGTTTTTCACTACAGCGAGACTGGTGTTTTTCCCTTCATCTGGTATACGGGATGGCAGGGTCCATGGTGCGTGCGCACGTTTTGCAGCGAAGATTTTACAGGGAGCAAAGAGCGACAGCCACGATAGAGCGCAATCTAGGAGGAGTACATCATTTACAAGTCTATGGACTTCTTCTTCTTCTTCTTCTTCTTCTTCTTCTTCTTCTTCTTCTTCTTCTTCTACTTCTTCTTCTTCTTCTTCTTCTTCTTCTTCTTCTTCATTCTTCTCCTACTATTATCCCGTGGTTGGGGCAACCATGGGAGCACCACTGCAGTGGAAAACCAGCTCTCGCCATCTATTTTTGTCCTCTGCTTTCCTCAGATTGTCACCCATCGTCTTTCCTGTCCACTCTGTAATGTTGTCCTCCCATCTCCTTCTCTGCCTTCCTCTCTTCCTCTTCCCTTGTACGGTTCCTTGCAGGATTGTTTTAAGTTTTAGCAACTCCTGTGGATCTTGTGACATGCCAGTACCATTTTAATTTTCGTCTCTTCACTGTGGTCAGTAGATCTTTATGCCGCCCCACTGTGTTGGTGATTCTCTTTCGTACCTCAGCATTTGAAACGTGGTCTTTGTACGAGATGTCAAGGAGTCTGCTGTAAAATCTCATCTCTGTGGTCTGAATCGTTTTCTCTGGTTCTGCTGTCAGTGTCCACAACTCGCAGGCGTATAAAAATATAGAGATGACAAATGAGCGCATTAGTCTATGGACTTACACTAAACTAAAACTAACACCACAAACAAAAACAAAAACGTGAAAGTCGAAAGAGGGGTGGCACTTGACTTTGATTACTGTGAAAGTCAAGTGCCACCCCCTCATTCATCAGTGACGTCATGACAACAATGGTGCGTGCCTCTCCCTCTAGTGGTGCGACACGGTACGGTACTCATCACAATCACACCATCTATGCAGTTTGTCCGGAACGTCATTACTTCCTCCTCTATTGTCATTCATAAAACGTATCCTGTATAAGTAAGTGTAAGACAGAGCTATAGGGTGTGGGTGGTTGGCAGGTGCTCTGGTGTGGTTTGCTTCTTCTTTCCTATAAAACACTACCGTCCTTATCTCCCCTTCTTCTTTTTTTATGTTTGTTACTCTCTTGTAACACCTCTAATCTTCTGGAGCTCATATGACCTCATGCAGTTGCGAGCGCCGTAAAACCTCTACTATGGCTAAAAGCAGAGTAAGCCTGATTCCCTATAAGGACTTCTCTGTTGACATCCACCCCTTGGCGCTCCTATGACCTTATGCGGTTGCGAGCGCCGTAAAACCTTACTAAAACAATAAAACAAAACTCTTCCTTGCACTAAACTAAAACTGACACCATAAACAAAAACAAAAACGTGAAAGTCAAGCGCCACCCCTTCATTCATCAGTGACGTCATGACAATTTTTTTTATAGTCGAGCGTGCCTCTCCCTCTAGTAAGTAATGCGAACCGGTACGGTACTCATCACAATCACACCATCTATGCTATGTGTCCGGAACGTCATTACTTCCTCCCTCTACTGTCATTCATGAAATTTTAATGTACGAGGGCTGTCCCACGGAAAACCGGAATTTGGCTGTAATTTGAAAACTATTCAATATTTTCACATTCTGTAAACGCACACTTGTAAAACAATCATTTAGAAATGTCCCAATTGAGCACCATGAGAATCGCACAAACCAAACGAGCACAGCAGTTTTCAAAAGATGGCTACCCCCTTGGAAAATTGGTCAAGGGTAGAAGTGAGGTCTGTCATTCGGTTTCTGACCGCAGAAGGTCTCAAACCTCTAGAAATACACACTGAAATAAAGTCAGTTTATGGGGTGAAAGTAATGGCAAAGTCACAGGTATATGAGTGATGTAGTAAGTTCAAAGCCGGGCACTCCGATATCAATGACAAAGTTTACCCAGGATCTTGTTTTTCTGCCAAGACTGAGGACAGCAAGAGTCGCGTTAACAAACTTATTCAAACAGACAGGCCCCTAAAAATTCGCGAAATTTGCGAGTCGCTAAACATTTCAAAGTCGACTGTCTATAGGATAGAGTTTGATGAGCTGCACTTTTGAAAGGTCTCTGCTTGATGGGTTGGGGCCGAAAAAGACCAGCAGGGTCATTTTGCAGCATGGCAACACATCGCCACACACCGCAAACGTCACGAAAGACTGGTTCCAAGGGTTCGGCTAGGAAGTTCTACTACACCCCCCTCACAGTCCTGACTTGGCCCTGTCAGATTATCACCTTTTTGAACCACTGAAACGCCATATTTCTGGACAGTGAATCACCGACGACGAAGACCTCGTGGAAGCCGTGAACGATTGGTTGAAATCCCTTGACGAAAGATTCTTCAGGGAGGGTATCTTCTCCCAGATCCAGCGATGGGAAAAATGTGTCCAGCGGGATGGTGATTACATTGAGAAATAAAGCACATGTTGAGGTATGATGTGTTACAGTTTTATTTTAATAGGACAAAGATTTTTGCTTTTACGGACCTTTTCCGGTTTTCCGTGGGACAGCCCTCGTATCTTGTGTAAGTTGTAAGACAGAGCCATAGACTTGTACCACGATCCTAGATCGTACACTCTGCTGACGTATTTCTTGTGCTTTCGAGTAAACGTTACGAAACTATTCTTGAAACGTAGCATTGGTCTCAGTTTGTTTTAGTAGAGGTTTTACGGCGCTCGCAACTGCATACGGTCATATGAGCGCCATCATTGGTCTCAATTTGTTTTAGTAGAAGTTTTACGGCGCTCGCAAC